ACGTTACTTGTTGAAAGGCCGTCTTAGGGGGCTGGAGGCGTGGTTCAGCGGCTGAGTGTTTGCCTAACATATGTCAAGCCTCTGGTTCCACCCCCAGCTCCAAGGAAAAAAGAAAAAAACAAAAACAAAAAGAAACAAACAAACAAAAAAACAGGGACTCAGATGGAGAAGTCAGTAAAGTGCTTGCTGCATAAGTATGAGGACCTGAGTTCGGATCCCGGCACAGACATAAAAACTAGGCAAGGCGTTGTATGTGTGCAATCCCAGTACCAGGGAGACGGAAACAAGAAGAATCCCTGGGAATTGATGGCTAGCCAGCCTACCAGAACAGATGAGCTTCAGGTTTGACAAGAGATTGATTCTCAAAAAGTTAAGATGTAGAGCATTCAAGGACCTCTGATCTGTACATGTGCACCCCCACCCACACACACGGAATAGAAGCCTACCTTCAGTAATAGACATATTTCCTATTATCTGAACTAGATATAACAATTCAGAGAAGGGAACACACCCTCTGGGTGTGGTTTTGTGGGTGATGACAGGATTCTTCAGTGCTCCTGGTCATGGAAGGTGAGCACAGATACATCTCCATTCCCAAGCCCACCTAACACTGGCGCCCTAGATGGACCACAGCAGAGTTCCTCCCATCTCCACCGTCTTGCTGCGCACCATTCCCAAGCCCATCTAACACTGGCGCCCTAGATGGACCACGGCAGAGTTCCAACCAGGCAGGGCCTCTCCCAGCCTCTCCCCCCTGGGATGGTCCTAGAATCATGTGCTAGCTGAACTTCTCTAACCATCAGAAAAAGCAAGGCTGCCCTGTTCCTAAAGAGTTAAAAACTGAGGCTTAAGGCCGGCTGTCTTCCAGGGAACCCTTGAGTATCTGTGGAGACAAAAGGGGAAGAGCAGGCTTTTTTCCCTTAGGCCAAGAGGAGCATGGCAGGTTGAACCACCTCAACAATTGGCCGGGAGAAGCTAGATTTCACTGGCACAAAGGTCAGTGGTTCTCGAAGTAGTTCTCCAACATTTCAGATTCGTTTTCACGACCCAAATCCACATTATGAGGTTTACATCACATGGATGCATTCCTAAGTGCACTGTGATTAACACTTTCTTTCGACAACATGGGTTTGTTTGGTTAGGACTTTTCCAACAGGCCCAAGGCTATGTTCTCTTTAGTTTTTCCTTTTTCAGCAGTGCGAGGATGACAGAAGCGGTAAGCTAGGGAGCCTGGGAAGACTGGGAGAGAGAAAGCGGTTGTGTTGAAATCAAAGTTGCTCCAGACTTAATGAGACACAGCCATGGGCAAGTCATCAATAGGGCACTGAATGATAACCGGGCGTGATAGAATGCACATCACCACAGGCCCCCACTGCTGTGAGTGACCTCACTGTCCCCAAATACAGCATGCTCTCACCCACTCACGCCTTCCTGTCACTCCATGCACCCCTCCTTTGGCTCACCACCCACCCCCACACAGGCAAACAACAAACTTCTCAACATCCTCCCGGCTTGTTCTGCTCTCCACAGATCTCCATTCTACTCACTCCCCTGGAGCCCTAAAGAGCGTTGCATTATGGGAGGACACCTCCAGGGAGCCAAGCCCAGCAGCAAGCCCTTATACTTTCACTCCTTGAACCTAGGGCACAGCAGGGATTATTGTCACGCCCTTGTTTTCATCACTGTCCTCTTCCATCACAACTAACCTGGCAGAAATGAAGATAATCTAAAAAGACACTTGCATCTCTCCAAACTCCTGGAACAATGGACTAGGAGCCACCCCCCTCCTCCAGGAATCGCATGTTGGGTAAAGGAAGACACCACCCAGAAGGAAAACTTGTCTCCCAGCTCTAGCGGCATCAGATCACCTTACAGGGTGGAAATGAAGCTCTGACAATGTGGACAATATCACACCTTTAGAGGGATGGCTTGGATGCCTTTGGCCTTTTATTTAAACTTTGCTCTCACTTCAAGACCCTAAGATGGACTTAATTCAGAGACAGAGATGGTCACTGGATTTCTTTAGTCCTCTTTCCTGTGTGATCACATTGAGTGAATTGCCCTTTTTGCTTTTTCCTATTGATTCAGCTGCTTTAGTTGGCTTCTTAAGGATGGGTGGCTGTTCTCGGACTTTTGAGGTACAGGCTGTGACTTCCAAGTTCTGTAACACCATCAGTAGCTATTCCTTTCCAAATAGTCACCTCCCCTCAGAGGACTTTCCCCTCCCCCTTTCTACACTCTATCAGGTGGGAGCCAAGACCACGAGAAAAACACACACAGCCCCCTCTACCTGGATACTTGAGCTCACTTAAGAGTCCTAGAAGCCATAGATGTCAGCTTTTAGGCCAACTAGAGAAACGGGTATTGGCGTTTTTTAAAGCAAGAATGAACTATTCTGGGATCTAAGCCATTCAAGCAGAACATGAGCCCCTAGGTAGGCGACAGGTGGGTGGAATGGGGACAGGAAGAGGAAAGGGGAACCGTGAGGGGCCGAGGCCTTCCCGAACAGCCCTCTCACATGCTCCCCTCTTCTGAGACGACCCTGAAGACCCAGCAGCCCAAAGCAGGCTTGCAGGACCCTCCCTCTGAACTCCAGGAGCGATTCCTTTCAGTCTACTTCCCAAGATGAGGTTCTCACAGGCTGGTAAAAGCGGTGAGCTTATTTGCAAGCCAGGGTCATATCTGCCTAGCAACCCAACTTGAGGGACTATAAGTGTGGACAGGGAAGAGGCAGGCCAAGTCTGCACAAAGAAATCTGTTCTCATGCAAATGACCGTAAGCAAGAGGGCTAGGAAAAAAGGGAGGCAGCTCTAAGGAAGCTGGTTTCCTCCCCCAGGGAGATGCTGAGGGACTCTTTCACAACACACTTACTACCTTGCCTTCCGCAAAAGACAGACTCCCACCGACCCTACTGCAGAGGCCAACAGTACAGCCCAGCTCTTAGCTTGATTTCCTGATTTTTCTGGTCCTGTACTCCAGACTGCAAAGGTTCTTTTGTTCTTATTTAGGACTAAACAAAGTTAGTTTTGTTTGGGGGGGTTGATTAGCATGGTGATGGAGTACTTTCCCTGAAGAAGTGAGAAAAGCAGAGGCTTTCGTCTTTTCACTGGACCAGTGGCCTTGAGGAGAGAGATGTGAGGCCGGTCTCTAAACAGCATTAGCACGTCACCAGCTCCTGGCCTGCCAGCCAGGCAGGATTCCACCCACCTCTCCATTTTTCAAACACACAGTGCAAGTCAGCTTTGTAGCCACACTCTTGCAAACCAGGCCTGCAGGTTTCTACACATGTCATGTGACCTGTGCTCACTTGCATCAACCTGCCTCATCTCTAAAATGGAGATCATACCTACCCTTCACAGAGGGAGGGCTACTGACACGACCAAATCACACAAGGATGAGCCAGGCATGACCCAGCAGACCTATAATCCTAGCACGTGGGAGGTGTAAATTCAGACAATCAGGATTTCATGGTGATCTTAACCAAAAAAAAAAAAAAATCCAAACAAGCTGGGCATGGTGGCTTATGCTTTTAATCCTAGCATTTGGGAGGCAGAGGCAGGCAGATCTCTGTAAATTGGAGGCCAGCCTGGCCTACAAAGCTATTTCCAGGACAATCAAGGCTACACAGAGAAACCCTGTCTTGGGGGAAAAATATCCAAACAACATCACATGGATGGTATTGCACTATTAATAATTGCACATTATTGTTGTTACGGCCTCCAACAGCCAGGTTTCATGGAACCAATCATTCATTGGTTGATAGGGACTTCAGGCATTGTCTAATTTTTGAAGTTAAGATGGTGAAAAGGTAGGCATCAATGCCACATGCCGGAAATCTCAGCACTTGGGAGGCTGAGGCAGGACTGTTGCAAGTTCAAGGCCAGCCTGAGCTACTTGGCATGGCAGTGTCTTAAAAAACATGCCATTTCCAGCCAGGCAGTGTACTGTAGTCAGAGCTGCTGCACACGCTGAGGTTGGAGGATGGCATGAGCATCTCAGACTGAGGAAAGCCTGTGGTCCCACTGCCTGTGAGGCTGAAACAGGAGGATCTTCAGCTTGGGGCCAGTCTTGGGTGAGCTGGTGAGATCGTATCTAAAAAAATAAGTTACCAAAAGAAACAAACAAGCAATAAAAACAGGAGCAGGGGGCTGGAGGGATGGTTTGGCAATTAAGAGCACTGGCCGTTCTTCCAGAGGACCCCCGTTCAACTCCCAGCACCCACGTGGTAGCTAGCAACAGTCTGTAATTCCAGTTCCAGGAGATCTGACACTCATGGCAAGACACCGATGCACATAAAACATAATGAATGAATTAGTGAATAAGTAAATGGGATCAAGAGTTCAAACTTAAGTTTAAGGCCAACCTGGACTACCTGAGACCCTGTCTGAAATGGGGAAAAGTTTAATTATTCCTACAAACTGGCCAGCTATTATTCAGTGGTAGCCTGGCAGGACTGCAGTGGCCTTATTAGCACACGATGCATCAATACACCTGCTCCCCACGTAACCCACACCGGCTGTTAACAGCACTGCGTAACTGGGTCCCCATTGTGTGTGTGTGTGGGGGGGGGAACAAAGAGCAAAGAGGGTTTTAATTAAAATTTAGAACTGGCTGCTCCTCCCTGTGGCGACCCTCCACGCACATTCTCAAAGTAGGTTCTCTCGAGTTTCTAACGTCAGAAAGACCGTCTCTGAACCACAACCAAGGACCAGGGTTTGGCGAAGTAGACAGGGAAATGCAGAGAGGAGCGTTTGCTGCGGAGCAGTTCCCAAATTTCCCCTCGAGGTGTGTGATGGACTCGAGGAAACCAACTTTGCGCCCCCTCTGGCTCTGAACTGTCCCTGATCCTCAGACGCACGCTGTCCTCAGGAGAAACTCCTAACTCGGGCTTCCCGGGCAGCATCCATTTAGTTCATTGTGACCTTGGAGTCAAGGGGCTTGGAGATATGGGGATCCCGATACCCTATAGAGGCCTCCCCGGAGGTAAGGCAGCCTTGCACCTGTGCCGATGTCGCCTCCCGCTTGGGCGGGTGCACGCGCACGGAGCAGAGGGGGATGCTGACTCAGCCATGCTTCTTCCATCCCTTTCGCGCAGCGCGGATGCTGGCTGCAGCCAAGGCGGGGGGAAGGCAATGCACCCGCAGCAGCCGAGCGGCGGGCTCCTCGGGCCCCACTGCGGCACTCCTTCCCCATGCCCGGAAGGGGAACTGGAGGGGCGCGCGAGTTGACGAAATTTTGGGGGGGAAGTGGTGGCTGGAGGAGGAACTCGGGAGCCCGCGCGTGCTCTGCTCACACCCAAACTGGAAGGAACCTGTTCAGTCCGGGGCCAGCGACGCGCGGGACCAGCCCCGACGCGCGCCTCCCCTGCCCCCCCATCCTCCTCACTGGCTCCCCAGATCCTTAGGGCGCGGGCGGACCCGGGAGCTGCGCTCAGAGAGGGGGGTGCCGGGGCGCACTCGATCGCCCTCCCGCTCTCACTGCAGCCAAGTGCCGGGGTCCGATCGGGCCGGGGATCACACGGGCACGCGCGGATGAGGGGATGAGGGCGTCGGGCCAAGGACCCCAGAGGCGTCGGCGGGGATGGGCGACTCGCGATGGCAGCGCGGTTACCTTCTGTGACCCCCAGCCCCGGCAGGCGGCAGGCGGGGCGCGTGCCTTGCGCGGCCCCGATCCACGTGGGCCCGCGCGCGCGCACCAGGCCGGCCCCTTCCTTGCAGGCGCTCGGCGCTCCCAGCACATGGTCGGCGGCGGCGCGCCCCCGAGGCCGGCGGAGACCGGCTGCAGCCGGTATAGGATAAGAGATAGGCAGAGAGACGCGGGGCCGGGGCTCGGGCGGCGGCACGCACGGCCCGGGAGGAGGAGACCCGGTTGGGGGGCGGGGGGGAGGGTGTGGCCCGGGTGGCCGAGGCTGGCGTGGGTTGGGGGCCAGGGTGCTCCAGGCTCCCGGCCAGAGCCAAGTTGATAGAGACTCGGGCCCACGCCCTAAGGGGTTAAACCTTTTCTCATGTTACGGAGCGGTTTATAAGAAGGCTCGGGAGGCCCAGCCTCCGCCTTATTGGGAGCCTTTTGGGGTTTATTCTCTTCCCTTCTAACTTGGTGAGTTGGTTTTTATTATTTTACATGCTTAAAAGTTTTATTGTGGGGTATGGGTTTTTTTTAGTTTTTTTGTTTTTGTTTTAAATATAGTGTTGGGGGGCCTTTTTTAGGGCGGGGGGGAGGAGGAGGAAAGCACTTAACATTTTAACATTTTGAAGAGGTTAATCCGAAAAATATTCTGACAGTTGGGAGTGCTGGGGCCACAGGGATGACGCGCTCTCGGGCAGTTGTGAGCAGCTGAGAGCTGAATGTCCACGACCCTAGACAGATGGGTTCTGGGAAATACCTTAAAGGGTATTTGATTGTCCCCAACCCGGGGTGAAAGGACCTAGGCTGTGAGGAGAGTCCGGCGACGGTCTCAGACCCTCTCTGGGTTTTCCACATGAAGTTGCCTGCGCGTCACCAGAGCGATATGTCAGAGAAGGTACCTTCCTTCCCCAGGCTCGCTCGCGCGCGCACACAAGGCGGCCACTGAGGCAGCACGAGGGGAAGCGGGACTCCGGGTCTCCGTCCCCTCTTCCCCAACTCCCCAGGGCAGTCCTAGGGGCAGACAGACTTCTCCTCGGATCATGGGTCCCACACCTTGACGGTCTGCACTGTCACCCACTGCTAGTCGGTCCCGCGCAACTTCCAAGGTTCGCGGGGCTACCAGCGACAGCGAAGTGTCTTGAGCTGAGCGGCTCCAGGCTGAGGGAAATGATTTGGCAGAGGAAATAGGTTAATTTCCTTCTGGGTTGTGTTCATTCCCCGCACCTCGGCAGACAAGTGACAGAAGTTTGTTAGGTGGCGTGTAAAAAAAAAAAAAATGTCATCAAACACGAGGGTGGGGGGAGGGTGGTAGGAAAAGCTCCCGGGGATCCAACTGGGGAAACGCAATTACAACTTGTTAACCTGGTAGCTGGTTTTGTTTGCACAGCTAGAAATTGTGCCAGCTCCTTTTGCGGAAGGAGGTTTTTACCTTTGGATTGAGATTTCAGCCTCCGTAATCTGACTGTTTTTGCAAACCGTACTGATGAGTGGCTGGCTGCAAGAAACACCAGCTCCTAAGCTGAGATCTCCCCAGTACCAGCACTATTATGTGGCTCTGGGGGTGGGGGGGAAACACCGTGAAACACCTTTTCTGCTAATTAAGGGAAGGGCGTTTAAGATGGAAACTGACAGTACGTAAGTAAACAATGCAGTCAAGTGGAAAAATGGTCTTAATGAGTACCACTAGCCCCGAGTTTTCCTTCTGTGGTTTCCAGAAACAGGACTCTTCCTCAGTGGAACTCCCGAGGAAGACACTTAAATTAGGGGCTTGGGTTTCAACTCAATGGTCTTGCCATACGGATGAATTGGTTGCAGCCAGTGATTCATTCAACTTGGCCGAGGCAGTTTACCAGGTTCGAGTTGGGATTTTTTTGTTTTGTTTTTAGAGAGAATTCAAAATAAGTGTCCCCCACTCGGAAACTAGTCTGGACAGCTGGGGCTAGAGACTGCTTGTTGGAAGCCACCTCCTCCAGGCTACACCTTGAAGGAGATTCCCAGTGCTTTGGTTCTGCTGACGGCAGCCATCTCAAGTTCCAAGACTCTTGAACTTTGGTCGGAACTGACCCTAGGCTAACCCCAGAGTCTCTCCAGTAATCCAGTATTTTTATGCCTTCATGCCAAATCCGGACACCATCACATTAAAAGGTACAGGGAAGGTCCCAGGTAACAAGTGTCCCCAAGTCTTGTAGGATGCCCCTTTTGTTTTAGGGCGTGCCTTCTCCACCCTCTCCCTTCAGTGAGACGGAGTAGCCCCAGCTGGCCTGAAGCTCCCTGTGTAAGTGAGCCTGGTTTCAAACCCATAGCTCCCTTCCTGCCTCTGCTTCCTGAGTGCTGCCTCTATAGGTCTATGAGCACAGAACCTGGCTCCATTTTGTTTTGTTTGATTGTCTTAATTTTACATTCTCTCCTTTTTCCTTCTTGAAGGAGACACTGAGATAACCAAAAGCTATTAAGAAATAGTCTAAACAGCCCAGCCTTTTTTCCTAAGAGACATTGAGGGTCGTGAGAGGAAGCCAGCGGGAGCTCAATTAGACTAGCAGAGTTTTCCAGCCAGAAAATACCAGAGACTGCTTCCACGGATGAAATTTAGCCATCAAGAGATTTCTGCTAGGTAGTGAGGGCTTCCAGAAGATAAACCCACTGGCCTCCCTGTAGGTGGTAACCAGAGCCAATCAGGGTCAAAGGTCAACCTGGAATTGCCTCTACTTCAGAAAAGAGGTCTGGACTCAGACTCTAATTAGGTTCAGGATCCACGAGTTGTGAACCCTGAAAATCAAGAAGGGAGGTGGTCGCCAGAGACCCTCAGGTAGCTTAAGCAGCCCTGCCCCTTAGGTCCCCCAAGGTCTTTCCCATCAGGTACAACCTCAACACCACACGGGCAGGCTGTCTTTGCATTCTGTCACTTGTAGAGGCTTTTGAGTAGCCCGGTTCAAAGGTTAGGCATTGGTTACGTTGCGCTCTGGGTGACAGAGAGCTAGACGGCCTGCTGAATAAATGGCAGAGGGGAGAGCTGAGGAGACTGCTTATTCTGCAACCAGACACTTCCTCATTTCACGACTCCTTTTCATACGGCAGGAGCTTTGTGTTGCTTTGGGGGTGTCTCAAGGCTCACTGTTTAGTAAGCTTTGGGAGGGTTATTTTTGTTTCTGTTGGGTTTTAATGTTTATTATTTTGCTTTGGGGGGGTTGTTTTTTTGTTGTTGTTGTTGGGGGGGGGAGAGAAGATAGACAGTACTGTAGCCCAGGCTGAACTTCTTTTGAGACAGAGTCTTGTTGTGTAACCAAGCCGGCAATCCTCCTGCCTCAGTCTTCTGAGTGGACCACAATGCCCAGTTTGTTGGGTGAACTTTGAGCTATCGTGTGTGATACACAGAATGTTATACAGCAGTGGGTCTGGGAAGAGTAGCTGATTGCCTGTTTCATGCAATCTTTTTTGCCCCCATATAGGGGTTGAAATAGGGTCTTGTTTTAACCTGAACCAGCCCAAACCAGCTCAAACTTGCTATGTAGCCACAGGTGACCTTGAATCCCTGATACTTGTGCCTCCACCTCCCACGTTAGGTAGCATGCTACCATGTCCAAGGTTTTTTTTTGCTTTTTTTAAATGTTTTTTATGGTTTTCCGAGACAGGGTTTCTCTGTTTTGTTTTGGAGGTTGTCCTGGAATTCACTCTGTAGACCAGGCTGGCCTCGAACTCACAGAGATCCTCCTGCCTCTGCCTCCCGAGCGCTGGGATTAAAGGTGTGTGCCACTACCGCCTGACGGTACCCAAGCTTTCATGTTCAGTCTTAGATAGTACATGCCCGTATCATCTCCTGAGGCTTCCGCTCTGTTACTACGCTACATTGTGGTCTTAGCTTGGAGTCATGCACAGTGGGACATGGGATGCTCCAGACACATTCGGGGAGGCCATCTTACCTTTCTGATGATCCCAGGAATAAGGAAGCAAGTTTTGCCCCCCCCCCCTCAAACCAGGATTCATCGGGCATGGCTGCTTTGTGCTTTTAATCCCAGCACTTGAAAGCTGAGACCGGAAGATTGTTGCAAGTTTGAAGCTAGCTGGAGCTAGAGCGTGAGTGCAAGTGAAAGTTACGTTTGGTTGAAGCCAGAACAGAGAGGCATAGATGGAAAGCAGGATTTTAAAGCACAAGTTAAAAAAAAAAAACAAAAAACAAAAAAAAAAAAACAAAAAACGATCGTCGAGCCGGGGCTCCGAAAATAAACAGAAGGCAGAAGTTCCCTGTCTTCCGGCAGCTGTCACAGCACAGATCTAATGTCCGGCTGCTTCACACCCACTCGGGCAAGACCCTTCCAGGGCTAGCTCAGTCGCCTTGGGCCACGCACTAGGTTCAGCCTGAAAAATCAGCTGACGAATAGAGCTTAGTGCTAAAGTATAATAGTCAGCTGCTAAAGCTGGACAATGTTAGAGCATCTCCAGTCACCGGTGGCTTCGTAGAGCATGCTTTTAATCCCAGCACTTGGGAGCTAGAGGCAAGGCAGATCGCTATGAGTTCAAGGCTAGCCTGGCCTATATCCGTATCAAGTAGCAGGACAGCCAGGGCTACGTAGAGAGAGACCCTGTCTCAATAAACAACAGCCACTTCTCCTTTGAAGAGGAGCGCAAGCCAGAGATGGGAACTGACTACCCCAGGCCACACAGTTGTATGCTAAACAGTTTAGGACCTCTGTACCTGGAGGTCAAGTGCTTTGGGGATGGTGAGGGGACTGAGTAGGTACAACTGACAGCCTAAATCCAATCTTAGGAACCCATCTAGCGGAAGGAGAGGAACCAACCCCTCCCCCACCCCCACTGCAAGTTGGTCTCTGACCTCCACATGTGCGCTATGGCATGAATATACCCCACTCCTCCCGAAACATGCCTGTAAATAAATACGCTCATGTAATCAAAAATATTTTTAGTAGGGTGCTTTGTCGGGCTAGGGGTGTAGCTCAGCTGCTGGAGTGCTCGCCTAACGTGGTTGAAGCTCTGGGTCCCTAGTATCACAAAAGGCCAGTGTGATGGCTGATGCCTACAATCCCAGCACTTAGGAGGTCTTGGAGAAGCAGAAGGGTCAGAAGTTCAAGGTCATCCTCTATTCCACAGCAGTTAAGAGACCAGCCTGAGCTAAGTGAGACTATCAAAAACACAAAGGTGCTTTGACAAAAATGACTTCCTCCCAGTAAATACAGAAAAACACTTCCCTCCCTGGCCTTTTAGTCTGTTGCTCTGTTGGCCTGGACAATCTGCTTCTGGTCTGTTTGGGCCAAAACCCTTTACCTCCCTGGACCTGTTTCCCTGTTTTGCCAATGAGGAAGAGAACAAGCTGACTTTGGACTCCCTTGCAGCCTCAACCTCCTGTAAGTCTAATTTCGTTTGAAGGCTGTAGGTTGATCCTACCACCACCCAGCTGTTTCAAGAGTAGTGTGAGCAGCTGCAAACACAGCTTGCAGGTTGTCTGGACGCAGCCTTTTGGTGTCTGTGGGAACTTTCGTTTGGCTCAAACTACAGCTGCAGTTTGGTTTTACCTGTCCACATGAAATACAGAATTTAATCAGGACAAAGGTTCAACTTGTCTCCCTGGGATCTTTATCCCAATATATTTCTGTTCAAATTATCCCCGAGGACACCATTAAGACTCTTAAGACTTTCTGGCCAGAGGTGGTGGCACACACCTTTGATCCCAGCACTCCGGAGGCAGAGGCAGGAGAATCTCTGTGAGTTCAAGGCCAGCCTGGTCTACAGAGTGACTTCCAGGACAGAACAGCCAGAGCTATCGTAGTGAGACCCTGTCTCAAAAAAAGCAGAAAACAACAAAAAAAGAGAAAGAAAAAAGCTAGATATGAGGTGATAGTCAAGACATAAAAATCAGGTTTTGTGACCTATAATCTAGTTGAGCAAGTAAGACAAATGCATGGAAAGTAAATGATTGCCCGTTAAGCAATTCCTCTCACATGAAGGTGAGACCACCTCAGTTCAGTTTATCAGAGGAAGTCTGATGGAAAAAGGACCGAGTGAGCGGGGCTGTGGAGGGTGCCACAGCAGCTGTAGAGACCGTGCGCAGCTTCAAGAAATGACTCGGCCAAAAGCAAGGTAGCTGGAGACTACAAGAGCCAACAGGGACCTTTTGTGACCTTGGCAGGTGAGTCAAGCTTTAGAACCAGAAGGGAAAAAAGTTACCAACATAGATCGGGGTCTGAGTATGAGGCTCATGGAAAGTGGGACTCTTTACGAGTAGGTTTTATTCTCCAGAAAGAGCAAACTAATTGATAAGCACGCACACACGATCTCTCTCTCTCTCTCTCTCTCTCTCTCTCTCTCTCACACACACACACACACACACACACACACACACTGCAATGCAGTGTTGCCAAAAGATTCATTTTTTTAGCCAGGAGGACCTAGGAGCCTTTACAGGGAGCAGGTCCAATAGATAGATTCGGACAACAGCCAAGGCCTTGACAGCTTACAGGCTCACAGCCACCATGGCCTCCCTTCCCCAGGAACCACCGTCACAAAGCCAACACCAGGAAGTACTTTTATTTGGTTGTCTCCGAAACCACAGCTGACTGCCACAGCTGCCTGTCTTGAGGGTGACTTTGGAGAGACCACTGCAGAAGGAGGAGTGTTGTAGAAACCTCCTTTGCTGGCGGACTCCCGACTCCCGTCGTAGACCAAATGCTTTCCATGTTCAGGACACAAATAACTGTCCTGAAGCTGCCTAGACTACATCCTGGAGCTCTTTCACAGCCCTTGCTGCAGTTTCATTCATTCTCAGGCATGATGTACAGCCTGCAAAGCCCTTGGCTGCAGTGAGCATAGGCTTCTTCTTTGTTGTTTGTTTGGTTTTGGTTTTTGGTTTTTATGAGACAGGGTTTCTCTGTATTGTTTTGGAGGCTGTCGGTCCAGCCCAGCCTCAAACTCACAGAGATCCGCCTGCCTCTGCCTCCCGAGTGCTGGGATTAAAGGCCTGTGCCACTACCACTTGGTGAGCATAGGCTTCTTAATGCATCCCATGCTCTGTTTCACTCGGCCAGATACTTACAGGACCAGGATACAGCTCCTTCAAATACCAGTCTACTGTGGAGAATATCAGTATCAATAGAATGAATGACAATAAGCTAGGTTACATACGTTGCTGTTTAAGGTTGATTAATTAGGAGCCAAGGAGATGTTTTCTTTCTGTTCTGCCAAGCCTGACTACTTGCATTTGGCCCCCAGGACCCACGCTGCAGAAGGAGAAAACTGAGCCCTGAAAATTGTCCCCTTACATCCACACGCCTGCGTTGGCACAGTGGTTCTCATGCTGTGACCTTTGACCTCTGACTTCTATGTGCGTGCACAGGCACATGGGCACACACACATCCACAGAATTAATTTTGTGAGACAGGATTTCTCAGTGTAACAGTCCTAGCTGTCCTGTAACTCACTCTGTAGACCAGGCTGGCCTCAAACTCACAGAGATCCACCTGCCTCTGCCTCCCTAGTGCTGGGATTAAAGGTGTGTGCCACCACCCCCCAACCACACAGTTAATTAAAAAAAAAAAAAAACATCGAGCGTTGGTGGCACACGCCTTTAATCCCAGCACTCAGGAGGCAGAGGTAGGTGGATCTCTGTGAGTTTGAGGCCAGCCTGGTCTACAGAGTGAGTTACAGGACAGCCTCAAAACAATACAGAAAAACCCTGTCTCGGAAAAAAAACAAAAACTTACAAGTCTGCTAAATACATACGAACTGTTTTTGTTTGTTTTTCAGTTACTGTAGTACATATACAATCCCAGATACTTGGGAACCTGAGGCAGGAGAATCCCAAGTGTAAGGCCTGCCTGAGGGATGGGGGTGGGGTGGACCTTTAGCTCAGTGATAGATGCCCGCCTAACTTGTGCAAGGCCCTGTATTCCATGCTCAGCACTGCAAAGGGAAAGAGAAGACAGCTTTTCCTATGTCCTAGTTGTGTGAATGTGACCACCTAAGTCAGGAGAAGTGCTATGTAAACATCCTAAATTATCTGAAAAAATTCACCGGTGTACTAGGATACAGCCATAATCCTTTATTGATTGTTCATTTGTTTATCTGTTTTGGGAAGGGGAAAGGTAGCTTGTTTTATTTAGAGACAGGGTCTCATGAAGCCCAGGCTAGCCTTGATCTTGTTATGTATTTGCCCAGATAAGAGTTCTTATTGTCAATATGAGCCCTAAAACTATGGATAAATTTATCACTGTGCAATACTACGTTTTAGTTGGGCTAAAATTGTATATGCCCATTTTGAAAATCTACGTAACTGAAGAGGCTTTCCAGTATGTGTAATTTATCCTATGAACTCCATAGGCTCTAGAATCCCCTGGGAGACACACTTCTGGGCTTGTCTGGGAAGGATTAGGCTGAGTAGGAGGCCACTCCTTAATGGGTGGGCCCTCTCGAGGCTGCATAAAGAAGAGCCAGGTTGAGCAGAGAGAATCATTGCTTTCCGCTTCTTGACTGGATGACCAGCTCTTGGGCCACTGACTTCTCCACCCTTGACTGACTGCATCCTTAAACCGAGAGCCAAAAGAAACTGACCCATCCTTAAATTGCTTCTATCAGGGTATTTTTTTTCTCCGTAACAAGAAGTTGACCCAGCCTCTCTCCAGTGTTAAATTGGTATCTTTTTTTTTTTTTCCTTTCATTTGTTTAGTATTTGGTATTCTCTGTGTAGCTTTGGAGCCTGTCCTGGTACTCACTCTGCAAAACAGGCTGGCTTGGAGCTCACAGAGATCTTCCTGCCTCTGTCTCCCGAGTGCTGGGATTAAAGGCGTGCGCCACCACATCCTGGCAAATTAGTGTCTTTTACTTAGCTATGTTAAGGCTCAGGATTGCTCATTCTGTTGTAGTCTGAACAGAAAGTCATAATGAAATCAGGACTCACTTGGTTAAGTTGACATGCTCAGGGCCTCACAGGACTATAATGCTTCATTTAGCCGATGTTAAGTGTTTGTCATGCATTCTAAAATTAATTATTTCCTGGTGAACAGAAAATTCTTAGGCTTTCATGGAGAGTTGTCTCCTGTCCGAAAAGAAACCTCTATATGTGAGATGCCAAATACTAATCAGGATGCTATTTACTGAGGGGAATGTGGTAACTAGAAGGACTGTCTAGATGACCTGAATGGGCAGCAGTACTAAGTAGAAATGCTTGGGGAGTCACTAGCCACAAGGGTTTGTCTCCTGGAAGGTACAGGGTCCTCTCAGTGTCTGGCTTTCTTTCTATCAGCATGCCTCATGGCCAATGCATTTCCTTCTTTCCTTCCTTCCTTCCTTCTTTCCTTCCTTCCTCCCTCCCTCCCTCCCTCTCCCTCCCTCCCTCCCTTCCTTCTTTCTGTTTTAGTTTTAGTTTTGTTTTTTGAGACAGGGTTTCTTTGTGTAGCCTTGGCTGTCCTGGAACTCCATCTGTAGACCAGGCTAGCCTTGAACTCAGAGACCCATCTGCCTCTGCCTCCTGAGCACCGGGATTAAAGTGCCACCATGCCCGGCTCCAGTTCATTTTCTGTACCTAATTTCTATTCTTCAACATAAGCGCCGATGCTTGGTCTGGTGGGCCTTCTGTGTTCTTCAGGGGGCCTTCAAATATTCTTCTCAGGTTCCTTGTGTCTGTTTATTGTTCTTCCCTTTTAATTATTTTCAAATTCTTTGTGGGCCCCATGTATAATTCAAAGATAGATATAAGATTGTATAAGGCTGTACTAACTCCACATGATCTGAATATTTAATAAATAGTTCTTGTCAGTTATGTTTGCTAAAGATGATTACATCAGCTAGGTGTGGTGGCATGGACTGCCCTTTAATCCTAGCATTCAGAAGATAAAGTCAGGATGACCAAGAGTGGTTGTCCTTGCATACATAGTTCAGATTCAAGGTCAGCTTGGTCTACGTGAGACCTCACCTCACGAAAGAGACAGATGAAGAGAAGACAGGAGAATGATGAGCCCTCATGTTACTAGTCTGAATGCTTTTTCTCATGTTTTAATTTCAGATCAAGAATGACCCAAAAGAATTCGAAGCTTTGTTCCAGAGCCAATGTGTATACCCAAGTGCCTGATGGAGGATGGGGCTGGGCTGTAGCTATTTCTTTTTTTTTTGTTGAAGTCTTTACCTATGGCATCATCAAATCATTCGGTGTCTTCTTTAATGACTTAATGGACAGTTTTGATGAGTCCAACAGCAAGATCTCATGGATAATATCAATATGTGTGTTTGTGTTAACATTTACAGGTGAGTACTTGAGTAATACTGATATGTGTGTTTGTGCTAATATTTACTGGTGAATATGTGGTTGGTATCAGCGTGTGTGTGTGTGTGTGTGTGTGTGTGTGTTAACATTTACACACTATCAGCGTATGTGTCTGTGTTAACATTTACAGGTGAATATGTGGGTGGTATCAGCGTGTGTGTCTGTGTTAACATTTACACACTAGTACATCTGTCAGCACAAACCTAGCCTGTACGCCTTGCCCTTTTTACCTGCCTGTCCGCCTACCTGACAGCAGTCAGCGTATTTGTGATGCATTTTCTCTCATAGTCCTTTTGGACTGTCTAACCTCAGTTAAGGAATTCGGTTTTCAGAGGGTTGGGGCACCGGCAAGAATTAGGAGACATCGAGAAAAGGCCATGTTTGCCAAATGTAATGTCTTTAGTCTAACACACGCATTAAACACATGCCATTTGCAACTTGGGAGGTAGTTCAGTGGGGGGATGCTTGCCTAGCACATGTAAGGCCCCAGGTTCGATTCCCAGCACCATTCAAAACAAGAAGTGAGATAGGTGCTAGTAGTCTGTAGAGTACTTTGAAGACAGTGGTAAACCCCAGTTCTCCAAGGACATAAGTTACTGGCTAAGAAAGCAACATCCAAAAGTCCCTAGTCGCTAGCTTCAACAGCTCATGCACTAAAAACGGAGCCCTACAGAAGATTAGCATGACTCCTGAGCAAGGATAACATGCAAATTCATAAGGCATCTCATTTTTAAAAAAATAATTAAGGGTGTTTTGCCTGCATGTATGTCTGTGCACCTTGGGTATGCCTAGAACAAAGGAGGCTCGAAGAAAATATAGGATTCCCTGAAACTGAAGTTACAGACAGTTTTGATTCACCATGTAGGTGCTGGAAACTGAACCCTAGTTCTGTGGGAGGGCAGTCAATGTTCTAAATTGCTGGGCCACTTCTCCAGTCCCTCTGTGTTTTTAAAAAGAAACTCATTTGAGGCTGTAGAGGTGGCTCAGCAGTTAAGAGAACTGACTGCTCTTCCTGAGGACCTAAGTTCAATTCCTAGCACTCACATGGTGGCTCGCAACCATCTATAATGGGATCTGAAGCCCTCTTCTGTCATAGAGTTGTAAATGCAGATAGGGCACTCGTATACATAAAATAAATAAATCTAAAGAATCCATCTTGCACACTAAGGCTCTGGACTCCGTAGCAACATGCTGAGGAAATGGAATAGGAGCATTTCATGGTGGACGCGGGAAGGAGAAAGCTTGGGATGGGTAATGGGTATATGTCAGCCCTCTGTCTTAGGGTTCCTCACTCACAGGTTCAATCCGCAAGACTGAAAATGTTACATGGCTATTGACTGGTACTAGGCTTACCATGATTAACACAGCCCAAAGTCTTCCTTGTTCCATTATTCCACCCTAAGCAGGATGTAACAGCTGTTTATATGCCAATGCCTCATTGGGTTGTCAAGATGTGGAGGTTATATGAGTATACGGACGTTGTGCATAGGTTATGTGCAAATACTGTGTCAGTGTAAGAAACCTGAACACCATGGATTTGGGTCTGCTTATGGGGGAGTCCCAGAAACATACCCCAAAAGATTATAATTTATATTTCTTTATTTTTGTTGTACTAGAAACTAAACCTCAAGCTTCACGCATGCTAGGCAAACGTTTTACCACCAAGATATATACATCCCACTCATAAAATCCTGAATACTGTCCTGAGGAGACACAGAATCCCATCACCTGATTCCCCCAAAAACGTGATTCATCATGGCACAACCCTCCCGAACCCAGCAGCGCAAAACACGATGGGCTGACGGACTGGTGCCACTCCTAACACCCGCGCTCTCATGTGGACGGGCCTGCTTTGAACATGCACGCCGCCGTCTCGTGCTCACCTGTCTGTGAGAGGCGACACCAAGGCTTTCCTGAGCTCGCCCCGGGGAGCCAGCCAGGCTGCCTTTAAAACTTCCCTCACCCACCCACTGCAGGCAACATCACCTGCGAGGTTACTGCGGAAGTTAGAACCGCTCTCTGAGCGTAGTTCCTTTTTGCCATACAGCATCCCAAAAGGCTGCTCAGTCCTGTTGGGTTGCTTTTGAGAAGGGATCTCACTATGCAGAAGTGGTTTCCGCAGCAGCTATCAATATAAGCTTGCAGGTGCTTGTGACCAAAGCTGATAGGAGTTTAATCTCTGAGACCCACGTGGAAGAAGCAGAGAAACAACTCGTGAAAGCTGCCTTCCAGCTACCACTGGTGCTCCCACATACAACACACAATGTTAGAAGTTTAAAAACGCGTGTTTACATTCTGAGTAATTCTAACAGTAATGTGTAGATTAATTCCGACAGAATTCTTTCCTTTCCCTCCCCATCCCTTCCATCCAGTGTGTTCCTCTCTGACCCAACTCTCAATGGTTGACATATCTTACTGTCCTCCTGCCAGTGCTAAGTAGCGTGTAAGTAGGAAAGAATTTGCTAGACTTCAGTGTCCCAGGGGATGGAGTGTATAGGAGCCAAAGCAAACTGAGATTCCTCAGTATTCTGAGTTAGCCGCTGTCTTTTAAGTGAACATGCCTGAGAATCGGCCTTATTTCCATCCTGAATTGTTTTCCGGACGTCAAATGAACTAAGTAGATGTTGACCACGGACGGGATTCTCTTAACAGGATCTGGAGCAGTGAAGACAAAATTAAAAGCAATTAGAGTGATCACAGGGAAAGCCAGTGTATGCTGGAGAACCAAACGTGTGTCTAACTTTGTATTGCACATGATAAGCCACGATCATCCATCTACAAATATATTTTGTATACCCACCCTCATCAATGCTGGAATCTAAGGCTTGCTTGTGCCGGGCAAGTGCTCTACCCCTGAGCTATGCCCCAGCGGCTTGTTTTCCTCTTGTTATCTTGTTGTAGAAGTACTGGGTGATTGAATCTAGGACCTGGCTGTTGCTATAACAACTGCTCTACCCATGAGCTGCATCCCCAGCCTTCCTTTAAATTTTTGTCCAGGGTGGCCTTGAATCCCAGTCCTCCTGCCTCAGTCACCTAAGTAGCTAGGGTTACCTTCTTATACCACCAGGCCTGGCACTTTGTGTTTTAAATCGGAACAAATGCTGAAATAACCTCTGTCCTGTGACCTATAACCGTTGCATGAAACATACTAGGTTCTTACATCACCGCTTCGAATTCACAACCTGCAGGAAGGAATCACAACGAAGCCAGCACAGAGGCCCGAGTTCACACGTCACTTTCTGTTCCTTTCCCCCTGCAGCTCCCCTCTCCACAGTCCTGAGCAACCGCTTTGGACATCGGCTGGTGGTGATGGCAGGAGGGCTACTTATCAGCACAGGCATGATTGCTGCCTCCTTCTCCCAGAGGGTCTACCACATGTACATCTCCATTGGGGTCATCTCTGGTGAGTGTCTCTCTCCTTTCTCCAAAGTTCTCTGCATGCTTCATTTGAAGAAGGGAGGGAGGAAGCTGTACCCAAATTGTATTTCTTCTTCTTCTTCTTCTTCTTCTTCTTCTTCTTCTTCTTCTCCTTCTCCTTCTCCTTCTCCTTCTCCTTCTCCTTCTCCTTCTCCTTCTCCTACTCCTTCTCCTCCTACTCTTTCTCCTCCTTCTCCTCCTTCTTCTTTTCTTTCAAGTTAATTATGTCTGAGATCAGTGATTTTTTTGAACCAGGTGATATGGTCCCTGAGTATAAATACATTCTCACGCTGGAGAGATGGCTCAGAGGTTAAGAGCACTGACTGTTCTTACAGAGGTCCTGAGTTCAATTCCCAGCAACTACATGGTGGCTCACAGCCAACTATAATGAGATCTGGTGCCCTCTTCTGGTCTGAAGACATACATGGATGCAGGATGTTGTATTCATAATAAATAAATCTCAAAAAATTTATAGCAAGGAAAAAATACATTCTCAAGTGTTTAAGAACTTCTGTTTGATTTAGGGAGAAAAAAATTTTACGTGTAATGAAGAGAACTGTTTCTCTAGGTTGAAGCCAAAGCGCATCTTTTTTACAACTTAAGACTTAAGTTCTTAGGCCATCATTTCTCAGTTCAAGTTCCGAGCACCCTGAGCCTTGTAAGGGGAAAGTAGTATGCCAGACTTAGTCTTGGAGGTGTCTAAGAGGACACTGATGGTAGGTGATATTTATGTGTATGCCCAGTTTGTAGATTTTAAACTTTGTATAGAGCTCTGCACACATCAAAAGACTACGTTGGCCAGACAGGATGACACATGCTTGTAATCTCAACACTTGAGAGTTAGGCTTAGGCAGGGAAATCATGAGGCCAGCCTGAGTTACATATCTCCAAAGAATAAAGGAAAAAGACATTCATTTCATATTCAAATATTATACAAAAACTACTTTTACTGATTGATCCCCATTGTGAATTGTATAAATTTGGGGAGCTCTGGAGAATAGTTCTCCGTCCTTATATCTTAGTATCCCTAAATGACCATTGCAACATTTATTTATTTATTTATTTATTTATTTATTTATTTATTTATTGGGACCACCTCTTGTATTCCTGGATGGCCTCCAAGTGACTATGCCAAAGGTAACTTTGAACTCCTGATCTTCCTGAATGCTGGGGTTATAGGTGTGTATTACCATACCCAAATTTTATGTGGTGCTGGGGACTGAACCCAGGACTCTGTGCGTGCTAGGCAAGCACTCTAACAACTGAACTACACCCGCCACCCACAAACGCCTGAGGTGAAATCGTTTTCTTTGCCACTTTCTGCAGAATGAATGGGTTGGCTCCCAGAGCTTACACCTTTTGTATAAAGCTCCTTGCACACGAACGATGCCCTCCAGGCTCGGAACATGCTTGGTTCTCACCGGCCCTTTTGGTTTTTGCCTACAGGTTTGGGGTACTGCTTTAGTTTCCTTCCAACTGTCACCATTCTGTCACAGTACTTTGACAAACGGCGATCTGTCGTCACTGCGGTCGCTTCTACGGGAGAGTGCTTCGCTGTGTTCGCTTTTGCACCAGGTAGGTGAGTGACAGTAGCTCATCAGCGGGGGACCAGGAAAGCCACTCTGCTGCTATTGCTGTGCTAACTTCGGCCGACAGTGTGGGTGACTCTCACTCTGCGTAATGAGATGTCACTTGCTCTCTCTTCAGCACATTTTTAGGATATCCTCCTTCTCTCCTATTTTAGGAATTCACACCACGCTAATCTTAGTCCAAGTTTACATAAAAGGGTACATAATCGGTGGTAAGACTTTCTTGAAACACGAAAAGATAACCCCTAAATTATTTGGTAATTTGGACTGTTTATATTATGATCATTCCCTTTCCAAAAGAGCTACATTCAATGTAGATTTAAATTATGCCAGCAAAATCAGTTTTCATATGTGCATATGAGTGACCTCACAGCAAACTCTTTATCCCTGGCTTATCTCCCCCAACTTAATGTTAATACATGAAATGCAAGAGAAGTAATGTAGCAGACAGATAACCCTCCAGGCCCAAATTCCTTTCTTTCCCCTCCTTTTTCCCTGGTTCCTTGCCTTGTCCTTTCTAGGCATCAAATTTGGGGCTTTTTACATGCCGGGCAAGCATTCTACCGCTGTGCTGCTGCATCCAAGCCCAATGCTCGCTCTTGATGGCCGCATCGGGTGGGTTGCAAGATTACAAACAGGAGTGATGAGGAGTAAAGTATTATAACACCTGAAACTTTTCAGGTGATCCACATAGCACCCGTCGTTTCCGATCTCGGTAGGACCTCCATTTGTAGTACTAACTGCTCTTAGAGAAGACCCAAGTTAGCAAACTCCTAAGCATGTTGTGGTTGTTAAGGATATGATCACGGAGACACTGGAGCACCATATCCTTAAATGCTAGGATAAGAGAGAAAGTCTGTCTTTTGGTCCACAATGGAGGCCTACAAACATTTGTAAAAAGGGTGATCCGCCCTTGGGAAACACTGACAAAGCCCAAGGTGTCAGGGCAGACATGCTTAAGAGTTTGCTATCCAAAAAAGGGAGAGGCAAAAGGAAATGTCACGCTTTTGAATCAGAATAGCGGGCAGGCATCACAGCGAGGGTCTTATTTTATTTTTTATTTACTTCATCTCTATAAAGATGGAGTGCATAGGATGTATAGTGATACGGTTCAGAGTTGGATAAATTATGTTTACAAAAGGTCTGAAATTTTAAAAAAACTTTGTTGTTAAAAGATGCCTTTTTCTTGCTTCCCTATTGGCCAACAGTGCTTTATTGACATATACACAGGATTTCCCCATCAGTTTGTGGTACCTGAGGGGTAGAACCCAGGGCCTCCTGCATGCAGGTGCTCTACCACTAAGATACGTCCTCAGCCCTGGGAATCCGTTAAGCTTTGGGGACTCTGTGTGTGTGTGTGTGTGTGTGTGTGTGTGTGTGTGTGTGTGTGTGTGTGTAGTATGTGTTTTATAACTTCTCAATTCTGTGGACTCAGCACAAAGCATCCTCAGACTATCTGCATGCACAAATATGGTTCAATTCCAGTCCAGTTTTACTAACAAAAACAGACAGTGGGTCAGATTTGGCCTGTGGATTATTGCTTGTTGAACCTTAATATAGGTTGTAGACATATCCTCCTTCTTCTGCCTCTGCCTTAAACCACTGCCCAAAGCTTTCAGAAAACTAGGCAGACAGTTCTTATAGCACATATAATAAATGTACACATTTTCTTATTCATTCGTAAAATGCACCAGAATGCAGAACAAAGGATAGTCTACAGGGCTGATGCTGCCATGCAATGCAAGAATAAGACCCTGAGTTTGGATCCCCAGCAGCCATGTAACAAGCTGGGTATAGTGGCAGATGCCTGTATTCCCAGCACTGGAGGGATACAGATGGATCCCCGGCATCAATCAGTCTTACCGAATTCCAGATTCAAGAAGAGAGTCTGTCTCCAAGAGTAGAGAGGCCAGGAATTTAACTCATGGTAGAAAAGCCTTAAACCTAATCCCTATCACTGCATAAAAACAAAAGTGCCAGGTGGTGATGGCATATGCCTTTACTCCCAGAACTCCAGAGGCAGAGGTAGGCGGATCTCTGGTCTACAGAGTGAGTTCCAGGACAGCCAGGGCTGTTACACACAGAAACCCTGTCTCAAAAAACAAACAAAAAGAACAATCAAGAAAGACACCCAGCATTGGCCTCTGACCTCCATATGCAAACACACACTTACCTTCCCTACCCCCCCACTCAAAGAATAGTATAGAATGACTTGCATTCATGCTCACTTTGAGCAAAATTTGTTAAGTTTTTAATCCGTATTTCTCCTAGCTACTGCCTGCTGGGTCTGGAGTCTGTTATTGACCTTGGATTTCCCTTTGTTTGCTTCTGTCTTTTCAAGCCATCACGGCTCTGAAGGAGCACATTGGCTGGCGATACAGCCTCCTCCTCGTGGGCCTACTGCAGCTGAACATCATTGTCTGTGGCGCCTTGCTAAGACCAATCACTATCCAAGGACCAGGGTCACCGAAAGCAGTCACTCACGAGCCCCGGAGAGAAGTGCAATACATGCTTGAAAATGAGAAAACAAGAACCTCAATAGACTCCATCGACTCAGGAGTAGAGCTAACTACCTCACCAAAAAATGTGCCTAGTCAAGCTAACACAGAGCAGGAAGCCAGGGCTGAGCAGCAGCAGACCCTGGTGGCTGGCCCCAAGCACAGCCACAGGAAAGCCTCACTGTTAGACTTCTCCATTTTGAAAGAGAGAAGCTTCATCTGTTACGCCTTGTTTGGCCTCTTCGCCACGCTCGGTTTCTTTGCCCCTTCCCTGTACATCATCCCTTTGGGTATCAGTCTAGGCGTTGACCGGGACCGAGCGGCATTCTTACTATCTACCATGGCCATTGCTGAAGTGTTCGGAAGGATCGGCGCTGGGTTTGTCCTCAACAGAGAGCCCATTCGGAAGATCTACATTGAACTCATATGCGTCATTTTACTGACGGTGTCTCTCTTCTCCTTCACTTTTGCTACTGAATTCTGGGGTCTCATGATGTGTAGTGTGTTTTTTGGCGTCATGGTTGGGACCATAGGAGGGACCCACATCCCACTGTTGGCCGAGGATGACGTCGTTGGAATCGAGAAGATGTCATCTGCAGCCGGAGTCTATGTCTTCATTCAGAGCATTTCAGGGCTGGCAGGACCACCCTTGGCAGGTAGTTAAATTGCCTTTTCCTTATTTATTTGTGGGTGTGCATGTGCCATATACTCATGGGTATGCATGTGCTACAGTGTGCATGTGGAGGTCAGGGGACAACTTGGGGCAGTCACTTTTCTCCCTCTACCGTGTGGGTCCCAGGGATTGAACTCAGGCTGTCAACTTGGCAGCAAGCACCTTTTACCCACTGAACCATTTCAACGGCCCGTGCAACCGTCTACTTTAATCTTCTACTTGTGCTGGCTTGCTTCGTGGGACTGATTGTAAAGTCTTCTTCCATTTTTACACCTGAGGTGAATTTTTGTTTCCCCGGATTAGAGAACACAATAGTTAACCCTCTTAGTTTTAAAAAGAAAGAAGCTGAAAAGCCTTAAAATTGAAGGCAGTGGTCATTTTTATTTTATGTGTACTGGTGTTGCCTGAATATAGTGTGTGTGCCGTGTGCATATCATGCCTATTGCGGCAGAAGAGGGCACTGTGTGTCCTGGGACTGGAGTCACAGACAGTTGTGAGCTACCATGTGGGTACTGGGAATCGAACCCAGGTCCTCTGGAAGAGCAGTCATTGCTTTCAACCTCTGAGCCATCTCTCCAGCCTTTCTTTCTTTCTTTCTTTCTTTCTTTCTTTCTTTCTTTCTTTCTTTTCTTTTCTTTTTTTTTTTACGAGACAGGGTTTCTCTGTATTGTTTTGGAGGCTGTCGGTCCAGCCTGGCCTCGAACTCACAGAGATCCACCTGCCTCTGCCTCCTGAATTCTGGGATTAAAGGCGTGTGCCACCACCACCCCGGCAAGCCTTTCTTAAGAAGGGAAAAAGAGCTGGACACGGTGGTGAACAACTATAATTTACTGTATTTGGGAGGTCGGGGTAAGATGATCATAAGCATGAGGCCAGACTGGGCTACGTAATGAGTTCCAGGTCCCCTGGGTTGTACAGAGAGACTCTGTTTGGGAAAAAAAAGTGAAAATAACTCACAATGGTCTTGTAGTTCCATTAACCCAAACGTCAGGTGGCAATAAGGTTATAATGTGCATGATTCCCCTCTAGCCTTAGACAAGGCAAGGTAACAGAAAACACGTGAGAGGCTTGGACTTGCAGACACAGGTGCTAATCTTGACTTACATTACTGGATCACCATGTGACCACAGCTGTGAGTCTGAGGCCAGTGAATTGAGGCAGTTTAGGCAAATTGTGAAACCCTGCCTCAATAAATAAATAAATAAGACAGTAGGTCAAACTAAGGGATGGAAAAGATTTTGGTTTGAACAAGGGCCCAGGTGAGAGGGTGTGTGTGGTAGCTGTATCGCTAATAGCTCCAATGCTTTCTTCCAGGCCTACTGGTCGACCAGAGCAAGATCTACAGCAGGGCCTTCTACTCCTGTGCAGCAGGCATGTCCGTGGCTGCTGTGTGCCTCGCCCTGGTGAGACCTTGTAAAAAGGGCCTGTGCCAGCATCCCCGTTCAGGTGAAAACCAGACAGACAGCCATCACAGGAAGGCGCTACAGGACATACCAGAAGACTTTCTGGAGATGGATCTTGGGAAATGTGAGCACAGGGTTCATATGAAAACGGATCCAGTGTGACACATTTTCATGTCATAGCTTCTGTGTTGCCTGGGAAAAGAGCCCCTGGGGCAGGTGCCGACCACAGGACCCCACCTTCAAAACTGCATAAGGGGAGTGCATGTGCAAGCAGCTGTGTCAGCGTCTTTCCCTTTCCTGTAAGTCCATTGTGCTTGCTCTTTAAGCCAAAACCAAAACAACCAAACACTTTTCCGTACAGGAATCCAGCCCTATTCAACAGCAATACAAAGATGCATGGAAGGACACTGGTCTCATCCCAGCACTACAACAATGCCATGAACTGGCAAACTGGTGTTCAAAGTACTCTTATGTGTGTAGACTATTATTTCATAAAGTGACATCCAGCCCAAGTCATGGAAATGTATTGGCCATTCCAAAAAGAAAAAAAAAAAAACAATCTTAAATCATTAAAAAAAAGTTGCTGATTTTCAGAAATACAGGTAAATTATTTTTTAAAACAATTTGAAAAATTACTAAGGTTTAAATTGACAAACTGTGGCTTCTGAGTTTTCTCAGTCTTGCATGGAAAGAAAGCAAGTATTTAAGAGTAAGCATTTGATTAACATGCAAAAAAAATTAAAAACATGTAACAACTTGAACTTCAAAGACTGCCACTTCTTTTTATGGCCAGCCATCACCACGAGTATTTCAGTAGAAATGTTAAATTGCACTCATGTTTCCTATTGTTTTTCATAATTCAAGAAATGAGTCACTGTAGTATTTTTTAATTTAAACAGATATTTATTACTAAGTTATTCTAGGATGATCAGAATGATGAAAAGGAGGGCCAGTGAGATGGCTCAGTGGGTGAAGGTGTTTGTCTGCTGCCAAGATTCACGACCTGAGCTGATTCCTAGAACCCACATGGTAGAAAGAGAACCAACCTCTCTGAGTTATCCTCTGACCTCCACACACGTGCTATGAGGTACATGCGCCCACACACGTATACGCACAAAAAAATCTAAAATGTTTTAGAAAAACCCTAATAATCAGAATAAATAAAATGTGATATACACACTATCCCCCCCCCTTTTTTTTTGGCTTTCCTGGCTGTCCTGGAACTCCCTCTAGACCAGGCTGACCTCAAACTCAAAGGAGTGCTGGAATAAAAGGTGTGCGCCTGGCTACACAGCATTTTTCTTTTTACCTCCTTTCTGCAGCTCTTTAAATTCTTCAGAGAGCTTTTCTTGTCTCGTAACATTAGTCTCCTGACAGCCCGAGCTGTAATGATTCTTTGGTGTTGTTAAAGGCAACGTGTGCTATTTAAGGGGGGGGGGCGGGGATACTGGATGGCAAATGGTCTCCGTTTTTAAATTATCACCTAAGAATACTTGAGGATCTTCTTTGACTAGAATTACACTTCATTGAATTGTTGGAACATTTCCAGTGGTTTTTGTTGTTGTTGTTGTTATTTAATCTTTAACTGTTGAAGCATTTCTTCGTTTCATCTGAAGTAGGAGGAACATTTCTGTCACTATCTCACAAGTTACAAGTTGTAATTTACATCTTCCATAGAATACTCGATTGTCCTAAGTTGCCATGGGTACCAGGCACCTGGTCACTGCTGTTGGCAAGTTCCACTACGTGTGTGTATAGTGTTCTGCATTCTAGAGTTCTCTGTAAAGGGGGCAGTGTGAGGACGAGGGGGCTGCCGCCTTCCTTGCCTGTCTGACTGCATCTCCCCAACTGGGTGGCTGGTGTTTGCTGCTCAGCATTTCCTCATCTTTACTGTTCAAGACAACTCAGGGGGAACATAGAACAAGCCTAGTTTGGTTACAGGTACACACAAGCTTGAATCTTTCTCTGCACTTAAGATGAAAGTGGCGTAGTTCGTCACCACAGGCTACCTTTTATACAGCGTCGTATCAGCCATAGAAATGGGACAATCTGTAAAACTTTGGGGAGGGTTGAGTGACTTGAAGACAGAGTGTCTGTCCAAAATAAAGCGGACACATCTTTAAAAACAAGGTGGATGTAGCAGAGCTCTGTGGGGTTGCCCCGAGAAACGCTTTAGGCTTGTGGGCAGTTTCCGCAGAGGCCAGTGACGTCAGCACTTTACGACCTATTTTATACTACGAATGTTCGATGCGATTTAATATTTATAACTGATTTCTGAGGGGTCTACTCTTAAATTTATTCTGTTTACTGCATGAGACAAGAACACGTATGCCATATTTCAGTGTGTCAACAATCAGGGGTGTAACTGTTGGGAAGGGAAAAGAAAAGAAGAACAGAATGGCTGATTTGTTCCGTAGGAGTGACATTCCGGTACTTCTGGATTTACAATAAATTTATGGCTTCTTATTTAAAAGTCTGATGCTCTTTTGTATTGAAGTGCTTTTGACTGATTTCAGAAACTGTAAAATCTTTGCACTACCCCAGGACACACAGGATTCTCAAGGCGTGGGTAATTCAATCTTCCTTCCTTCCTTCCTTCCTTCCTTCCTTCCTTTCTTTTTTCCATCCATAGTCAGGAAGCAGAGAAAAATGCCTAGAAACTTTTGAAATAATTTTTCTCAATTCTTTGGGAATTTCATACAGAATTTTAAAAATTTATTATTTCATGTGCATTGGTGTTTTGCCTGCTTGTATATCTGTGTGAAGATGTCAGATCCCCTGGAAATGGAGTTACAGTCTCGAGCTGACATGTGGGTGTTGGGAATTGAACCTAGGTCCTTTGGAAGAGGAGCCAGTGCTCTTAACTGCCCCCATGCAGTGTATTTTTGAGCATATTCAACCTTCATTCCTCTTTCTAGCTCCTCCCAAATTCACCCCCACCTCCCTCTCACCCCCAAGTTCCTTTGCTTGGCTGGTTTTTTTTTTTGTTTGTTTGTTTTTTGTTTTATAGCCCATGGAGTCCACTTTGTGTAGTTTATGGGTGTGAAGCAAGGAGGACCTATCAGCTCACACCACTAAAGAAAATGGAACTCCCCTTCCCCAGAAGCTGTCAATAGCTCCTTAGATTGGGGGGGGCGCATGAGCCCTTCCCCATCTGTGCTGGGGTGTTGTCTGGCTTGACAACAGCTGCTGGGAGTCCACAAGCACAGCAGTCCTGTCAGGTTAGAAGACAATGGTTTTGTTCTAGTTCTCCCGGACCTCTCGCTCTTAGGATCTTTTCACCTCCTCTTCCAAGACAGTCCCGGAGCTTTTGTGGGGGGAGCGGGCAGTGTACAGGTGTCCCGTTTGTGTGAGCATTCACTCACTGACGTACAGTCCCTGCATAACACAACACTAAAACCGTTCATTTATTTACTCAGAGTTTCATAGGCTGGCCATAAACTTCATAACCCTGCCTCAGCCTCGCTATACACTACGTTCGGCTGATTTTTTTTTTTTTTTGAGACAGGATCTCTCTACATAGCCTGACTGTCCTGGAACTCTGGATTTGTAGAGCAGGTGGGTCTCAAACTCAGAGAGATCTACCTGCCTCTCTCTGGCTCTGCAGTGCTGGGATTAAAGATGTTCGCCATGATGACAAGCTTGACCATTTATTTTCTATTGATGCCTATAAATTACTTTGGAATGCTTTAGAAAGTAATCCAAAGAGAAAAAGAACAACAGGACAGATAAAAATTAAGTAGCCTAATCACATGAGAAGAAACCATTTAAATTTTTTAATGAAACATAATTTAACCTGATAAGATAATCTGGTTAATTATTATCCCCCTCCCCTATGGCTTTTTTGTTTTTGTTTTTGTTTTTTTTGTTTTTCGAAACAGGGTTTCTCTGTGACTTTGGAGGCTACCCTGGAACTAACTCTTGTAGACCAGGCTGGTCTTGAACTCACAGAGATGAGTACTGGGATTAAAGGCTTACGCCACCACCGCCCGGCCCCCACTGATTCTTTTAATGAGAAAGAGTCTCAACTTTGCCCTGCCTGGCTTAATACTTGCTACATAATCCATACTGGCCTCAAACTCATGACAATCCTCCTGCCTCATCCTCCTGCATGCAAGAATTAAAGATGAATGACACCATTCCTGAAAAAACTTCATTTCTTTTTCTTTTGTGTGTGTGTGTGTGTGTGTTAGATGGATGCACTTGCCGGTGTGTGCATGTGTGGGTCAGCCTGATTGCTCAGATAAACTTAACAACCCAGAATTCGATCTCCAGAACCCACACAATGGAAGAGAGAAGCAACCTGTACAAGCTGTCCTCTGATACACACATAAACCATGGCAAGTGCGCCTCCATACCCATGCTCACAAGATAGATCAAAAAGTATTTTTTAAAAAACGTAATCAAGACATGCGGGCATAGTGGTACATGCCTGTAGCCCCTGCATTTGGAAGACAGTGGTTGCGAGCTCAAGGTCAACCTGGCCAGGGCTACATCCTACGATCCTCTTTTAAAAAAGAAAAAATGTTAAATAGTGTGATGTTAAACATACTCCAAAAGGTCATGACTCTATTGGGAGGTGGGGTCTCGCAGAAGGAAGTCAGGCTACTGAGGGGGATATTTATCTCAGCTAATTTGCCACAGTAACTGGAAAGTTCCAGAAAGTCCCAAGAACTTTTCAAATCTCTAGTTTCGCTCCATGCATTCGTTTGGTTCCTTGCTTGCGTTTGAGACCGTGTCTCATGTAGCCCAGGTCCACCTCAAACTTACTATATAGCCCAGAATAACCTTAAACTTCAGATCCTCCTGTCTTCTCCTCCCAAATGCTGGGATTAGAGGTGTGAGGCACCATGCTTGATTTTTGTGGGGCCAGGGGTTGAGCCCTGGTTTTGAGTATGCTACAGGGGCACTCCATCAGCTGAAGCCAGCTCAGAATGCTAACCCTCTAGGCAAAAGCCCAGATGCCCAATGCCAAGGACTGGCAAGCTTTTACCATAAAGGCCCAGATAGTAGATTCTTGAGGCTTTTCTTACTACACAGATTATGCCAAAACTATGAATAGTTGACATTGTAGGTCCAAGGCAGTCACAGAATGTAAATGAAGGGGCATGGCTGCCTTCCACAACATTTTTTATCACGGCTTCAGACACTGGGATTTTATAAAAATAACCCTGTGATCAAATCATACTTGATTGTATTGGGTAATGTTAAGACTTTTTTGTTCACAATCTAGTAACATACAAATGGAGGGGCAGTTGGAGAGATGGCTCAATACCACTCTTGCAGAGGACCTAAGTTCAGTTCCCAGCACCCAAGTGAGGCAGCTCACACCTGCCAGTAACTACAGCTCTGGAGGATCTGACACCATCTTCTGCACTCCTCAGGCACCTGCGCACACTCTCTCTCTCTCTCTCTCTCTCTCTCTCTCTCTCTCTCTCTCTCTCTCTCTCTCTCTCTCTCTCTCTCACACACACACACACACACACACATAAATTGAAAATAAAATAAATCCTAGAAAGAAAAAAAGATTTGGTACCAGGCTTAGTGGCATACACCTGTAATTCCAGAACTTGGGAGACAAAGTCAAGAAGATCATGAGTTCAAGGATGGTGTGGTCTACATAGTGAATAAAAAAAAAACATTGGGGATATAGTTCATTGGCGAGCACTCTGGGTCTCATCACCTACAAAAAGTAAAAACTGACTATGCGGTGGACTCAGTTTGGCCTGCAGACCATTCTTGTCTCTACTCCATCTATGGAGACACTGCAGTGGGTCAACACCACAGCTCTGAAAACAAAGTTCTGATGATGAAAAGACATTGATGTAACGCCAGCCGCACTCAGGAGGTTGAGGAACGATCACCACAAGTTCCAGTTCAGTCTGGACTAAACTGTGATGAAAGACCAAAAAAGAAAATAGAATGAACCAATAAAACTAAAAAACTTCAAGGGTCATTTTAGGGGCTCCGTAACTGAAGTGCTTGCTGCAACAGCCTTGGGTCCTGAGTTTAACCCCCAGCTCGTACACAGAAGCCAACTGTCAGCCCTGGGGGTGGGGAGTGGCGCTCAGCTGTCAGCACTCTAGCTGAAAGAGCAAGCTGGCTCAGTGAGAGACCCTGCCCCGAAAGAATTAGATGAAAAGTAGCGGAGGAAGGCGCCCAATCATGACCTCTGACATCCGCACATCCAGACAGGAGAGCTCACCTTTACAAATGCGTACCCCCTCGGCCCCCCATGTACACACAGAGTCATCAAGGTTATTTTTAAATGCTCATTATTTTGGTACTAGAGAGATGGCTCAGCAATTAAAAGCACTGGCTGCTCTTCCAGAGGACCTGGGTTCAAGTCCCACCACCCACATGGTGGCTCACAACCATCAGTAACTCCAGTTCAAGGGAATTCGATGCTTGATGTGGGATGTCCTTCTGTATGCTGCGAATATGTGTTGCTTTTACTGGTTGATAATAAAGCTGATTTGGCCAATGGCCAAGCAGAATAGGGCCAGGTAGAAAATCCAAACAGAATTGTGGCGAGAAAGAAGGCAGAGTCAGGGAGATGCCATGTAGCCTCTGAAGGGGTAAGATACCAGAACATTACCAATAAGCAATGGACACATGGTGATACGCAGATTATTAAAGATGGGTTAATTTAAGCCGGGCGGTGGTGGCGCATGCCTTTTATCCCAGCACTCAGGAGGCAGAGGCAGGCGGATCTCTGTGAGTTCGAGGCCGGGCTGAACCGACAGCCTCCAAAACAATACAGAGAAACCCTGTCTCGTAAAACCAAAAAAAAAAAAAAAAAAAAAAAAATGGGTTAATTTATAAGAGAGAGCTAGCCAGTAATAAGCCTGAGCCACTGATCAAACAATTATAACTAATATTAAGCCTCTGAGTGGTTATTCAGGAACTGGCAGGCAGGGCAGGAAACATCCAACTACAAATACCCTCTTCCCAGCCTGGGAGGGTAACAGGCACAGATGTGGTGTGCAGACATACGTGCAGACAAAACACACACACTAAAATAATAGTTTTTCACTGTATGCTGTGCGTATGAGCGGGGTGCCTGAATGTATGTGTATGTACCACTTGTGTGCGATGCCCACAGAAATCAATATGTGAGATACCCTGAAATTGGAATCACAGACATTGTGAGCTCCTAGTGGGTACTCAGAATTGAACCTGGGTCCTCTGGAAGAACAGCCAGTGCTCTTAACCACTGAGTCTTCTCTCCAGCCCCTCATCAAAGTAATGTTCAGACCATAGGTGTCAAAGACAGGCAAGATCAGACAATTGCCAATACATTGTTTTTTATTTTCCATGATGACTCTTTTCAGCTCATTACTTTATATATACACATATACACATATATTGTGTCCTTTCTGTATGAATGTAGACTGTGTTCCTCAGTGTAGTTGTTAGGGTCACATGTCCGATTGAGACAAATGTATGTCTTCATACACTGTTTC